AGACAGGACTAATCGTCTAAAAAATGTTATGTCCCAATCAATACATTTTACAACACGAGAACAGATTAGTGCAGACTTCATGGAATACCTCAAGAATTACACCTCGATATTCCTCAGAATTCATCGAAACATAACAATTTAGAAGACAACGAAGATCTTTTGGCTCGGAGATCCGATTTGCCATTATCATCTCCACCATAGACTCTCTAAAATCTTCCACAGGATCATCAGATGACTTCTCCATGGCAACCATAACAATGAATTTAGTACATTCACCTCTCGCCCTCCTCCTCCCTTCGTGTCTCGCCTCTTGCCTCTCTCTGATCATTTGGTCTAACCTCTCTTGAACCATGGCGTGTGCAATGCTTGAGATTGTCGGAAACCGATCAGAACCCGAGCCCTCAGCTTCCTCGGAGGAAGAGACACTGAGCCTACAACTGCAACACAAGGCACTGCATCCTTTGAGCTGAAGCTTTTGCTTCTTCAGTTCTCTGGAGCCTTGCATTCTTAGGGATTGGCACAGAGCTATGAAGGCAGATATGAGCAAAAAAAATTGATTTATGCACAACTGGAAGTGGGTGGCACTGATCATGATCATGTCTCAAATCATGCACACTTAGAACATAACCCAAAAGATTAAGTGGGGTTTAAAGGATGAAGATTGGAAGGCAACTGGGGAACATTAGGTTGTTGGGTGATTATGGTGTTTGATAGATCTACTTTAATTTCCTTTATAGGTTGTATTAGGTGTCTTTCTTTTGTTCTTGTGGCTGAAATGGAAAGAATGAAAACCATGAAGCCTTAGGGTACTATAATATTAATTCAGAAGGGGAAAACAAACTGCAAAAGTGAGGTTTTGCTTGGTTTCACATGGTATTTATAGTAGTGGTTCAGATAAGACTGTGGTACCAAAAAATGAATTGTGACTATAGATTTTCAGTTGATTCATTTGTAGTAATAAAGCAACGTAATAAAATAAGAGAACTTATAATGTGTCACATACTTATTGGTTGAAAAAAGAATGAATGGTATCTGAAATTAACTTTTGATGCCACCGTTGTAACCAATTAGTAGTTGTTGTCCACTTGCTTTAACTTGAGCATTAATGGGACAAGTTTTGTTAGTTGAAGCCAAAGTAAGCCTCCACTCAATTAGATGGGCAGATTCTGGTTTTGAAACACATGGTCTTATCATTGAAGATATAAAAAAGATCAAGCTAAATAGTCTGTAAAAATACATCCTACAACACTTTTGTGAGAATAATTTTTTCATTGAGGCTCTAGTCAAACAGCTTTCTGTTGAGTTCTTAGTACCCCACATGTTGTGCCATGATGCCTGTGGGATAGCTTCTCCTCGTACAGAGTACAAGCTTTTTAGTTGAAAAATGAAATCCCATCAGCCTAAAAATGAACTGACAAATTAACCAAATTACATCAACTGAGAAAGAGGAAAAGAATAATTGAAACAAAGTAATCTATGAATGTGCAAAAAGACTTGCAGGATGCTGAAAGAGAAAAAACGTCAAATGTGACGCGATCAAGAGAATTGCAAACAACAAGCGTTAGATTTAAAAGTCTGTTACTTGCATCAATGCGACAAAACAAACAATTCCCTAAGTCGAATAGGCAATCCAGTGCTAGATCTGGGAAGAGTTGATGTAAAAACAGTTGAGTAATGATGCTCAATAATGAGGTTAAAAAAAAAAACTCTGATCAATAAAGGGGCCATGCTTATAATCTTATATTGTCAAGGAAACAATACATAATCACAAATAAAAGAACCCAAAAAACAGAGCCTGGTCTGCAGACTTAGGAGAAAAGCATGTCTAATGTTTGGTGTGACTTGGTGAAATTGATGAAGAGACTCAGAAGAAAGCATGTCTATCATTTCTTGCTTAATGTTTGATCTTGCTATTGTCTATCCATAAAGCATTGTGTAATGCTTTTCCCCTTAAATTATTCGACTACATTAAGAAAGAAAATCAAGACAAAGATTGTACAGCTAGTGATAATCTCTTCTTTGCAGATTCTTTCCATGCTCATAGGAGAGAGAGAGAGAGAAAAGAATGTAAATGGAAGAACTAGGTGTATAGCATGTGATATTCATTAGTGTGAACCATGGATAACTGATCTTACTTTAATTGGTATGTAAGGAAACATGGTCCGCATTCTTGGAATGCATCAATGTACTATATAACAAGTTACCAAAACAGATACAGTGGCACATGAGGTTATAATCATTAATGATCACTCACAAAAGTAAACCCATTTTTCTTTTTTTCTCTTTTTCTTTTTTCGTGTTCATGTTGGAAACTTGTAGTTTGGAGCTTTCAAAGGTGAAGTGCTGAACCACGGAACAAATGGGTGGAAAATGGCATTTAGCCTTTTGAAAGAATTTTTTTGACATTTATAAGTGAGACTCGTATATTTATCAAAATATAATAACTACCCATAAATATTTTTAAAAATTTCAATGGGAGCAAATCTCTAATAAATTTTAAATTTTTTAAAATTATGATTACTTTCCAAAAATTTTAAAAATTCCAATGGCCGGCAGCTATCCCGACTGTGGATCCGCCACTGCTTGCGTTTGGACCACTAGCCATCAAACCCTTCAATATTTTTGACCAACAACTTGAAACGGAAGGGGGAGAGAGAGAGTATTGCTAAGTTGGGCCAAGTTTCAGTACAAAGCCCAAACGTGAAACCCATATTTGAGTAAGCCTATTTTGTGATTAGTATGGGCTATTAGTCCAAAGTCCAAACCATCCGAAACGTTTAAAATAGTCGACCCAGGGCTCACCCCTTTGTAATCGTCAACTAACCATTTCTCAAATGGGATATCCAATGCTCTCACAGGCGTAGCATATACTTTCTCACCCTCCAATCCGACACCCTCCACCAACCACAGAGAGCGCAAAGTGGGTAATTACAGAATAAGCCTACACGATCAATATCTCGAACGCACTTATGAGATTCATGACATAAAGTTCTTGAGTGTTATTATATTATCCGCGTGACCTCTCTTGTCAGAGGAAATAGACCACCTTTATTTTCATACATTAAAAATTATTTAGCGTGAATTTAAATAAATTAAATTATATAAAAATAGATAAAACCTTGTCAATATGTAAAATATAATTTATAAATAATATTAAAAGCAAAAGTATTATTGAGAATCAAGACCAATGACACCAATTTATATGAAGAATTACTCAAAGGAGCTAAATCAACCACTTGCATAAGTTGCTACAGTAAAATATATTTTTAGTCTCTAAAGAATATTTGTTGGGTTTATTTGATTCTCAAACTTTTATAACATCTCCCACAAATGATCTAATATATACAATGATAAGGGCAAAATTTTAGATATAGACCATCATAACCCTGGAGCCCAATAAATTCAGAGGATCCTTGCCTGATTAGTAACCCAAAAGAAGAACCCCCAATCACCTCACGTCGGAAAGGAAGAAGCCCAACAACACCAAAGGACCAGCAGCACAACCCAAAACCAACCTAGCGACTAGTTAAAGGATAACCCAGTACCAAGAAGCCAAGCCAAGCCCTGGGAAGACCCCCGTCAGGCCACGTGTCTAAAGGACAAGGAGACCATCTCTGAAGCCTGTGGCAGTTACACCCCTCAGACACAGAGAGTAGTGGTGCGCGTAACGATCCAGAGATCGTGGGCATAGCAAAAACTATTTGCAGGACCGTGACAGAAAACCCCACAAAATCAACAGAAATATAGAAGGAGCCATTAAAACCCTAGAAAAAATGACAAGTATAAATAGAACAGTGTTAACTTACTAATGGGGGTCGGATATATAACTCTTAGGTCTAGACATATGAGGAACTAAGTGTAAGCTCTTGTGAAGGCTTTGTGCCACTAATCTTAATAGACCCACCAGCCTCCAATATACAACCTGAAGGAGCATAAGACTCCGTTATAGTGGACGTAACCTCAATTTTTTGATTGGGATGAACCACTTACACTTGGTGTCTTTCATTATTCGCAAAATTAACCTCATACTCAATCGAATTCCCTAATCCAACTAGCAACTCACCAATTGGGCTTGAGCCGTTATTTTCGAGCCCCATCACACAAAATCTTCAAAATTAGTTATTTGGCCCATAATTTTTATTCCAACAAATTATCTTCAAAATATCTAAAATAATATTTTGTTACAGTGATACTCTATATTTAGAGTATCATAATAACGATATATGTATATATATATTTTTATAATATTTCCCATCTCTTTCTCTAGTTTCTTCCATTCTTTCTCTTTCTCCTTTCCACTGTTCTAAATATATATATAAATGGAATGAAAAATAATATTTAAAAACAGTAGTTAAAAATATAGAAAATCTGTTGGAGTGTGTATTAAAAAAAATGAGTAGTTAAAATAAAAAAATGTTATTTTTTGAGTAGTTAAAATAAATTTTGTTGTTAGAGATACTCTTAATTGCGTCTATTTGGTCCATAAAGTTCTTAATTTATATCTATGTATTCTAGTTTCAAATGTCCATAAAAAAAACCGTTAATGCCTTTCATCATACATCACGTGAGACTAAATAGACACAAATTAAAAATTTTAAGAACCAAATAGACATAAATTAAAACTTTAGAGATTAAATTTACACAAAATTAGAAATCACGTGATTGAGCGTTATTAGAATCGTCACGATTTGTTTACGGATATTTAAGATTGGACCAAAAAAATACAAATTAAAAAACTTAAAGATTAAATAAATATAATTAAAAAATTAAAAACTAAATAAACATTAAACAAATACTTTAGAGACTAAAAATTTATTATTTTACCCTTCTCAGCAAAAACACAGTGTACCGCACGCTTGGGTTTATCTGTTCAATTTTCCCAAAATACCCTTACCTAATTGTCTCCGTGGACAGGACAACCACCCGGGGCGGAGGCTCCAAGGACAATTTTACCCTCACCACACTCAAACTCCTTCAGTTAAAGAGTTTACAGAGACAAACAGCGAAAACAGAGCCCCCAAAAATCTCTCTCCGAAAGATCTGAGTTTTGCTCTGTCTCTCGCTCTCTGCGAAACGATCAATGGCGGCTTCCTTGGTTGCTAATGGTAATATAGCCGCCGTTAAGCCTTCGGTGACTGGTCGGTTCGCTTCGGTTTACAGTGAAGTACAGAACAGCCGGCTCGATCATGCTCTTCCTCTTCCTTCAGTCCTCAAAAACCCCTTCAAGGTCGTCGACGGTCCTGCCAGCTCCGCCGCCGGCCATCCAGGTCTCTATCATTATCCATATGAACAGTATATTTATTTAGAATTATATACATCGATTGATCTACATACGAGTATAACGCATTGTTTCATCTCTGAATCTCTATCGGTTTGGTTGGTATGATCTAAATAGCAGATTTGAAGTTCGTTTTTTTTAATTATGCATGAATTAGGGCTCTAGAAACTTTAATCTTTTACTTAACAGGTCTAAATGATCAACTCTAGTTTTATGTAGAATAATTGGAAGAGTAGATCCAGCCTCCAAGTGAACAGCATCTTCGCGTGCATATCTCTCCTAGTGATGGAATAAAGTCATTATGTGATCTCGTTAACTTCTATGCTCCATTCGGCTAATCAGGACTGAATAGCTAATTGAAAGTCTGAATCTTGGTTTTCCACTGGCTAGGACTTTAAAACTATAATTTTACTTAACTGAGCCTGAGCATAAACCAACTATTTGCTCCAATTTCACAGAGATTAAGCATTGGATCCAAAATTTTCTTTCCGGAAGCTCAAAGGTTTGAATTGGATTTACAGTGGTTTTTTTTTTTTCACAGAGGAGATCGAGAAGCTGTTCCCTTGTCTGTTTGGGCAACCATCGGCAATGTTGGTACCTGGTGATTCAGGTGAATTTAAGTCAGGTCCGAGCTTGAAGATAGGAGTGGTGTTATCTGGAGGACAAGCTCCTGGCGGACACAATGTCATTTCTGGAATTTTTGGTTGGAATTTTCGTATTGTGGTTAATTATGCACATTAAAATCTTTAAGGTAATTTGAAATGTTGCTGAGAATATTATTTTGTTGGTGGTTGTAGATTATTTGCAGGACCATTGTAAAGGAAGCACACTGTATGGTTTTAGGGGTGGACCAGCTGGGATAATGAAGTGCAAATATGTTATATTGACCTCAGAGTATGTTTATCCATACAGAAATCAGGTATGGATTTTTTAGTATTGTTTAGTTTTCTAATAAGAAAACCCCTGTTTAGGTTAATTTGTTGATGTATAATTTATGTCTTTGAATATCCCTGAACATGATTACAGACTATATAGCCATGAGACCAGAATTATTTTGAGTTTGGTGTATGGATATGCATCTGTCTTGCCTTATGTGCTCACAACATGTGAAGAAGTGGTTCATGTTTCAGAAAATTCACATTTATATGTGTATACATGTCTCACAATGTAATGTAAATAGGCATCTTAGTTTTATGATTGCGGCTTTTTTTGGTGGAATTTATTTTTTTACATACATGCAATTTGAAGCGCCATCATGAGAAATTCAAAAATAAAACTAAAGATTCCTAAAAATAAAACTGTAATATCATCCCTACTTCTTGAAATTTATGGCTTCCATTTGGGCATAATATGGAGAATATGAGCTGAAATCTTGCAAAGTGTATGGAAATCACTGACAAGATGAGCCAAATGCAGACCAATCAAATACGGAAAGCATCTGATACGATTGCAATTGTTTTGTTTTAGGGTGGATTTGATATGATTTGCAGCGGGAGGGACAAGATTGAGACTCCAGAGCAGGTGTGACTTTCTGCTAGCTTCTCTCTTGAACCATTAATGACTTTATATATATTGTAGGTACATGGATTTTATTTCTGGATAAGCCGTTAAGGTTAAGACTTATTGTTATTGCTCATTTCAGTTTAAGCAAGCTGAAGAAACGGCATTGAAGCTTGATTTGGATGGGCTGGTTGTAATTGGTGGAGATGACTCTAACACAAATGCTTGCCTCCTTGCAGAAAACTTCAGGTGGACTATTTAATAACAACAAAAAATTTTAGTTTGCTGTGTGACATCTTTCTTGTAAACTTCAGTTTTACATATGTGAGATTTTTACAAACTAGGAGATATGTTTATATGCTATTACCGTTGTTTGGATAAACAGTTGTGTTTTTGTTCTATTATTCATTTAATTGTGTTGTGCAGAAGTAAAAATTTGAAAACCCGAGTGTTGGGATGCCCAAAGACCATTGATGGTGACTTGAAAAGCAAAGAGGTTCCCATAAGTTTCGGATTTGATACGGCATGCAAGGTGATTCTAACTATGGCTATATCTTTGTATGCTTTCACCCCTGTTTCACATATTCATTATTCTAAGCTAATTATGTGTTTGAGCTTTAATGTATTGCACTACTATCCTTTATTCCACAAATTTAAATTACCCAAATTGTTCAAATGATGTACTTGTAATCAAGTTCACTTGTCATTTTGGAAGATGGCGACTTGATCTTTTCAACTCTATATCTGTTGTATTTCTTTTACTCCAATGCAAGACAATAGAACATTTTTATCTTTACCTTTGAAAAAATATAATACTGTTCTAAGAATTTTTGATTTTTAAGTCTGATAGACTGATACTACATTAACCCTTCTATTTGTCTAATTTTTAATATATTCATTCCCAGAGGTATACTTTAATATGTCTTCAGCATTTAGAACTAGGTCAGCATTAATCATTAGCCACGATGTCTTCACGTCATATATGTTACTTTATTTGGTGAAAAATAGTTATTAATGTGTTGTTCTAATAATGCAGATCTATGCGGAAATGATTGGAAATGTCATGATAGATGCTCGCTCAACTGGAAAATATTATCATTGTATGTATATGGGGCATGGCCTTAAACTCAAACAGATCTTACTCCTGCATGTTCATGGCCTTGCATTTTACACTCTTGTTGGCAAATTTGAATGTGGTTTTCCCCATCTTGACCACCACCAGCTGTCAGCTTGAGTAGTATATCTCTTGCTGCTCCCAATGGGGTAGTGCAGAGTTCAATTTTTGTTTAGAACACGCGTGTGGTGTGTGTGTGTGTGCGTGCGTGCTTGCATGCTGGAAACCATCTCATCCAACTTTTTGTTCTCTTCTAATTTCCTCTTGGCATACCTTCTCAAGATGCTAAAGTTTCTGCTTTTTTTTATTTTTTTCTTCTTCTCATATGGGTAGTTTTTATTAAATTGAGCAAACTGTACAACATCAAATGCGCATACCCCAGGCATAAGTTACAACCAAGAAAGAAATTAGGAGGGGAACGTGCTCAGATCAGGCTGGTTCACCAATAAGAGAGTATTCCCCAACTTAAGGAGCAAGTAGATTAAATTCAATAAGACATTTTGACCAATGGTACGGGAAGCTTATAAAATGCAAGGAAAAGCAACTTGAAGATCTATCGGAAATTAGGACAGCAATAACACAATTAGGGGACACAAGTTTCTAGTTTTGTCAGTTTTTGTCCACTTAGTTGTGTTGTCACATCCATAATTCTGAACAGCTCTGTTTACAAACATACAGATTCCCATATTTTTTTACCATTTGATATTAGCTTTCATAAAATTTCGCTTGGCTTTGTAATTTCAGGCCACAGCTTATTTGCATGTTCTTTGTTTCATCTTTTTGTTAATTCTTTGCGTAATTCTTTGTTAATTTTTGTCCACTTAGTTGTGTCGTCACATCCATAATTCTGAACAGCTCTGTTTACAAACATACAGATTCCCATATTTTTTTACCATTTGATATTAGCTTTCATAAAATTTTGCTTGGCTTTGTAATTTCAGGCCACAGCTTATTTGCATGTTCTTTGTTTCATCTTTTTGTTAATTCTTTGTGCATAATTCAAAGCATACATGATACTCAAATGTCCAACTGTTTGCAGTTGTACGGCTCATGGGACGTGCTGCTTCACACATTACACTAGAGTGTGCTTTACAAACTCATCCAAACATCACTCTTATTGGAGAGGAGGTACCTATATTAGTTTAATCTCTTGCAGATGATGTTAGTGGTTCACTGCTCATTCTTTCTAAAGAAAATAAATATCATTTGGACTCCCAAAATGCTACTCTCCGTATTTTTGTGCTACATGTATGTTGCCCTCTGAAGAGTTGAAAATTGTTTTTTTTTGAGCTGCTTTCTAGGCATGCCTACTTCAAAGGTCCATTTTTGTATTATATTTTATCCTTAAATGGGGAGTATCCTAGAAGTGTTTTACATGTTTAAAGGATCAAGGTTCTACAAAGTAATTTTCCTACATTACTAGGTGACCTCACTTTCAAAACCTATATTCCCCCAAGTCAACTCACCTGAATATCATAAGAGCACCTCTGAATTTGACCAGACTTTCTTTCCTGGTCTAAATAGGTCTTTTATTATAGAATATTCTCTGAATAATGGCAATTCAACAATATCCAGCGTTCTTTGTAAATTTTAGTTAAAGAACTCAACTTACAAACTGTATGGTCTATAATCTGGTTATAACTTACAAGTTTCATGCACTGGGCTCATACTCAGTGAATTGCAAGAACTTCAAAAATGTGTATATGTAGTGGACAGTGACTTGTGAGAATCTAATACTTCTTTGATTGTCGTTGTTTGAGATGGGAGAACAGTCATCTATGATACTCACTCAATATTTTGTGATATGTTAGGATTTGAGATACTTGCCTGGGTAACAATATTACCCATTTCTTCAAAGAGCTTCCTGCATTAATTGTTGCTTAATGAGGCAAAATCTTATTGCAGGTTGCTGCCAAGAAGCAGACTCTGAAAAATGTTACAGACTACATTGCTGATGTGATCTGTAAACGTGCAGAACTTGGTTATAACTATGGGGTAATACTCATTCCAGAAGGCCTTATTGATTTCATTCCTGAGGTAAAATACTGGATCATTAGTTTGATAATTGTTTGTTTGCTTACCTACTTCTGTTGCTTGTTATTATTCACTGGCATGATTTGTGCTTCTATGTTGTACATGTACTTATTATGGTTGTTGACAATCTTCTCTTCTGATTTTAATGTGTCCAGGTGCAGCAGCTCATTGCAGAGCTGAATGAAATTCTGGCCCATGACACAGTAGATGAAGCTGGCCTTTGGAAAAAGAAACTTACACCCCCATCTCTGCAGCTTTTTGATTTGTTACCTCCAGCAATTCAGGAACAGTTGCTGCTTGAAAGAGATCCTCATGGAAATGTTCAGGTGTGTGAATGTAGTCCACTTCAGTATTTGAAAATTTGAATCCATAGATACCATTTGTGTTGGGACAACTTTGTAAATATTTGTCCCTTTTTGTACTCCAGGTTGCCAAAATAGAGACAGAGAAAATGCTTATTCAAATGGCTGAAACTGAGTTGGAGCAGAGGAAGCAGGGAGGTGCATACAAAGCCCAATTTAAAGGACAATCCCACTTTTTTGGGTACTCATCTTTTTTGTCTATATGACCTTCTATGAAATACATCTTTCAGTTGTAAGTGATGGCTTGACGATGTTTGAGGTGAGGGAGTGGCCTAGTGGTAAAGACTTACACTACCCGTAGGTGGTTGTAACCTCATCCCGCTCCCCTCCCTCCCCCACCCCCCCACCCCACCCCACAAAAAAAGAGAGAGTAAGTGATGGCTTGATGATTTGGCCTGATTGCCATGTTGAAAAACTGTGGACATGCAATACTTTGTGTATAGTTTGCTTCAGATTATAGAAAATAATTCTTTATGGTCGACATTCTTAACTTTATCCATATGATTTTCACTTCACAGGTATGAAGGAAGGTGTGGTTTGCCATCCAACTTTGATGCTACATACTGCTATGCATTAGGTTATGGTGCCGGAGCTCTTCTTCTTAGTGGGAAAACGGGATTGATATCATCGGTTTGTGCTACCTTCTTCCTTTAGCTCTAATTTGTCCTGCAAAGCAATGTTTTTCCCTTTTTGGCAAGTCAGTTTAGCGTATGTCAATGTTAAGACTCTAGTTCTGATTGTGTCTCCAGGTGGGAAATTTGGCTGCTTCAGTGGGAGAATGGACTGTCGGTGGAACTGCATTGACTTCATTGATGGATGTTGAGAGGAGACACGGTACACTGATTCTTTATCTGCTGGCTTCATATTTAAGGAAAATAATGTTCTTGCAGGTCTATTTTTTTTGTTTAGCGGTGAGGAGTTCTTAGTTAGGCATACTGGCAGAATACAGTTAACCTCTGCTGCTCACAAAGTAAATGACTGGCATATCTATTCAATGGACAAGATAGTAGACGGATACCACTTGTTATGTTATACAGGATAATAATATCAGGATTGTCTACAATGGGGTGTTTTAGCATTAAAGGCGTTGGATATTTCCCTGGGACATCATTGTCAACAATGTTACCAAATCACTTACCCCACTAAAAAACTAACCAAACCAAACCATATCAAGCCTTATGTCCCAATCATTTGGGTCGGCTATACGAGTCTGTCTTAGCCATTCATTTCGATAATGCCCTATAGACTCATTTAAGTTAAATATTTTTATATATTTTCTTATTATTTTGTTTAATATTAATTTAGGTTTATCCCTATTTATAGTACCATTAAAAGAAATTCTATCATTTTTTCAAACCGGTGCCTCTAACGGCCACCGTTGAACATAACCAAACCATCTTAATCTATTATCTTTTAACTTATCCTCAATTGGAGCTTACTCCTACCATTTCTCTAATACGATCATTTCGTATTCTATCAATTCTAGTTTTTCCACAACGAAAACTATGTTACCATATCTGTTGAACTTTATTTTTCAGTTTCTACATGATATTTTTCTTGCAGTTGTTCCAACTCATGGCTGAAAATTTATTTGGTTTTACAGGTAAGTTCAAGCCAGTGATTAAGAAGGCAATGGTAGAGCTTGATGGTGAGAATTCTTTCATTGCAGGCCTTATGCTATTATCTTCTCTTCTTTATAATTATTCTGCAATTGCATTTTCAAGTTTACCCCGTAGTATCAAGTGAAATATTCGGTTTCTTGTCTAATTATCTTGGCTGGTTTCAGGTGCACCATTCAAAAAATTTGCATCCATGCGGGAAGAGTGGGCCCTTAAGAACCGATATTTCTGTCCTGGTATGATATCTTGTTGTCTCTATTAATTTTCATCAGTGTTTAGCTGGATTCGGTCTTAGCTTGTAGAATTGAGCCTTGATTGAAAAGAATGTATGACAACACCTATATGCATATGCTAAGACAATGTGCGATGCTAAATTTAGAGACTATAGTTGCTTAATTACATACAAGCTTATGACTATTGACAAAAGAATTCGAGTTCCTAAAGTATAATATGTTTGGTTTTTTGGCTTATATTTTAAATCACAGGTCCAATCCAATTTGTTGGCCCGGTATCTGATCAACTTAGTCACACCTTATTGTTGGAGCTTGGAGCTCAAGCATGAGTGCTTGACCTGGGAAAATGCAAGTTGTCATATTTCTGCCTCTCTTTATCTCTCAATAATGTTCTCGATTTTTGCCTTTTTTGCCTGCGGATGCTTTCGAATTAGATGTTAACCTTATCAGTGGTGGCTCCTTTATTGGACTAAGATTCATCGTCCGGATAATTGAAGCTCCATCTCCTCAATTTCTTTGTCGCCATGTTTTTATTTTATTTTCACTATTGGCTTGGATCAGTACTTATCTTTTAGTTGTGGTTGAGACAAATGATAATGACTTTTTGTTTTGTTTTTATGTTTTTGTTCTTTTTTTTTTCATTCCAAAACCTATGAATATCAGAGAGACACCCGTGGATTATTAAGATTATATAAGATAAGGATCTACCAGATGATTGAACTGAACACAGTCAGCATCTAGTTCCTCTTGCTGATTTTTGTTTTCTCTTCTGGTATTTTAAAAATAATCTTATGATGAAAATGAAATCTCTCTCTCCCTCTCTCTCTCATGGTAACAAATAGGACTGATAATTGAGCTTTGGAGAGAAAACTAGTTTAAAAAATTATCCACACTTGGCTCGTTTAAACTTTTAGAAAATGAACTGAGTACGAGTAGTTTGATTATTTTACATATAAACGAGTCGTGCTATCAACTTAAAAAATTTATTTAAACTTGAATTGTTAAAAAAATGAACGAAGTTTGAGTCAAGCTTGAATCAAGTTTAAAATGGGCTAAACCCATATGGCTTAGTTTGATTACCAGTCTTAAGTATGAATGTAAGGGGTTTAAGCAGGTGCTTGTAGGTCAGACTGGGACAAAAAAAAGGGTCTGATAACTGTCTATTTGAGATAAATATTTAAGGATGCATTAGACTTCTTTCCCTTTAATAATCATTTCAACCGCGTAAAATGTTTGGTTGGTGGATTATTGAGAATGTGAGATAAAGATCATGTTGTGTCTCCCATTCACATACCAAACGAGTGTGTTGTGCAATTGATAGTTGTATTTTTTTGTCACAACTCTCTTTGATTTCTTCTATCAAAATAAACAAAGGGTTGTCACTTTTCCTCTCTAGGATAAGCTTTTTAAAAAGTGGCATTACATATAGAAAATTCCTATATCACATGCTGATGATTTGGCTTTGTAGTCCCTTTCTCCCCTCCCATGTAATTAAAAAAAAGGTCATGTGCATCTCAAAGTTTTAGAATCTTTGAGAGTTGAGATGCTCATATACCTTTTCCTTTTTCATTCTTTATTTTTAGTTTTTATTATTTTTTGATACCAAAGAATTGTCCCAATCAGTTCTTTTCTGAACTTAAATTGATTATGCAAATTCTAATATACCATTTGGTAAGAATTTTTTTATTTGTTTTTAAGTAAATTTAGTCAAAAAAAATATAACCAATTTTCTTTAGTATCATGTAAAAGTAATTAATGTGTAATGTGGTGCGCTATTATACATGCGATTAAGTTTGGAGGAAGAAGAAACAACACGGACAAAAAAAAATTAGAAGAAAAAGTAAAATACAAAATAATGAGTACTTATAAACTAAAAGATACTTAAATAGCGGTAATCACAAACATCTTCTGTGTTTGGATTCCTTTACAATAAACAAATTTAAAATAGTTTTTTTTTCTCATTAAAAAAAATGGAACAAAAAAGAGCTTATTAAAATTATTTTAATAAACCCTCGTTAATGAGGTCATAAGATTATTAATTACCCCTTATGAAGCACAGATATTTCGTCAAGGTCGACGTAATCGAATCGGATATCGTATTGGATATGATATTCATCGGATACTCAATAATATGTATCGGATACGCATCATTCGTATCTGATAATTAATAAAATATGTGGATACTTTGCGGATACTTTCTAAATATGGAGTAAGATGTATAATTTTTAATTTTTAGCTATACCCCTTCTTTGGAATTCACATACAATATATAAACATCAACAAAATTTCATTTGATTTTGAAGACACGAATATTTTTTAAGTATTATTTATTATTAAATGTTAAGAGAGTATAAAACTAATTAGTTAAATGTCGTTATGATTCCTTCAATTGGTTATACTCATTTTATGAACATATTATAATGAGACGATGTTACATCCTTTTCATGGTAAAAATTCATAATTTTACTTATTAATGTTAAAAAATTATAATTTTTAAGTTGTTAAATAATAATAAAATATAAATATATTTTATTATAGATCTATCTTGATCGTGTCTATATCTTATTTTTTTTAATTTTATCGTATCACTATATTTATATCGTATTATATTTGTGTCACGAATTTATATTCGTATCGCGCCCATTATACCATGTCTTTTAGCACGTGAGCAGTGTACATAGGAGAGGGAAAGGCTATTTGGAAGTACGCCATCGAAAATGAGCAAACATTAAATAGTTGGGTAAGCAATCACATCGTAACAACCTTTAAAGGAGTAAGTATTCATTACATCACTCTAGCTCGGCAGTGATATCGAATAATCTATATATATATATATATATATATATATATAATAAACTAAATTACAATTCAAATTTCAAAAATAAATAAAATAATTTTTATTATTCGCGATTAAAATCGTTTTAAAGTTTATTTTAAAGTTAATTTAACGACTAATATTATTAATATCCTAAATTTAATAGAAAAAATAAGCCCCTAAGGGTATGTTTGGAGTAATTTTTTAAAAGTAATTCTACAAATTATTTTTCATAAATACTTTTAAAAAAGAATAGTATTTGAAACCGTCCCACCACTATCTCCACCGTCGCCGCCACCACCGCAACCACTACCTTTGCTGCCACCACTATCATCACTGCTACTGTCGCTGCTGCCACTATCATTGTCGTTGTCATCACCAGTACTATCACCACCACCACTATCGTAGTCGTTGTTGTCGCCACCACTACCGCCAGCGCCCCTGCCACCCCCATAGCCACCGTCACTGCCACCACAGTTATTATCACTTACCACAACTATCATCGTCTCCTACTACTATTACTGTCACCCACCACCTCTCACCCCCACTATAAATCGATGTTTAAATTCATTTATCTATTTTCTATATTTGTAATTTAATTTTAAATATGAATACAAATATGTTTATTATTTATCATTTTTTATTATTATGTATCTTCATGCACATACAATAACTAATAAATAAATAAGTCACCAAGATGAACTTTTGTTCTTATGAATAACTATTTGTTTATATCAGATAGTGACCATTTTATTTTAAATAATTATTACTTTAAAATCCATTGGCATCAAAGGACAGTTTTCAAATTATTATTTGTAAGGGATTTAAATATCTTTTTTTAGAAGTTCAAAGAATGAAAAAAAAAAAAAAAAACACGCAGTGCAAGTGCAAGGAACTCATAAAAGAATTTTTTTTTATTAATTCGATCAAAAAGACTTCGGTGCCAAAAAATTGAATGATCAACTTTGACCGCAACAATAACTATCTCCTAAAAATTAATTTAAAATTATTCCTAAAAATACTCAGACCATAGTTCCTGTGGAAATTGGAGTGTATCTTGTCTTTTATACTAAATATCCTTTTTATAGGCATTATCTTTAGAGATTACCAAAACTTTGATATTGTGTCATCATCTAATAATGAACAAAAAAATTAGCAAAATGAATCTTACTCTTTTAAATAAATAGTCTTCTACATAAAGATAATGATTTGATAGTAATTACAATTTTTTTTTTTTGAGAATGAATGTAAGTTTAGGAAGAATTCATAACCACTTATATAGAATCAATTTTCACCATAATTGCCCCCTTTATTTCTCTTTTATATTAGTTTCTAAATTATTTCTTAGTCTATAATAATTTTTGTGTAAAACATAGCTGAAAACTCATACCTTTAAATGTTAAAACACCATAGATAAAAAAATAAAAAAAAAAAACTAAGTAAAAACCCTACTATAAAAGGAAAATAATATTGCAAAATGGAGATAATTTGTCAAATAAAAACTCCACATGTCACAATCTACAAGAAGAGAAAGAGTAGTATCAAAGTCAAGTCCGCGAGGATCGAAGGGATAGATGAGGTCATGCTAACCCCAATGTCTAGACCACCTACACCTAGTGCTCTGTGCCACAAGTGTCCTTGTGTTCCTCCCACCACTATAATTAAGGTTTTCTCTTGGGATTTATTTTTGAAATTTTTATAATTTTTATATACTATCATTTTACAATAAAAAAATTATTATTTTTAATGATAATATTATATCTTTAACAGATAAACTTATAAGTAGTTAAGGAATATATTCATATATGATCATAAATATTGTGATCCGTCATGGGTTTTGCTTGAGTAATTGTAATTTATTAGTTACGAGTTATAATTTAATTTTTAAAAATTATAATTCAACTTTTAAAAGATTAATTTTTTATGATCAATTGCAGTGTTTAAGATTTATCATATCTTTACAAGTTATATTTTTATAATTCAAAAAATTATAATTTTATTATAAAAAATTATATTTTTCAATGGGATATCTTGGTCTTTCCCTCAACATAGATGGAGTACACACTTGTGAGTAACTCTGCATTTGGGTTGTCTTCCCAAAGGAACCCTACAAGCTCGAGTTGTAGGCAGCCTGATGTTATACCCAATGAAAAGCCACAATTAGGCTTTGTAGACCTTCTTCTTCATCTTCTTGGTCATCATCATTTGTCATGTGTTCTTGTCACCATGCCAATTCCATATTCATGGTGCATCTCTCTCTCTCTCACACCCACGTGGGTAGGGGTGTTCAAAATTTTAACTATTCATATATTTTGATTTTATTGAATCTTATTCGACTCTATTAATTGATTATCGTAAATAATTGAATAAATTAACAAAAGAATTTTTGATATTTTATAACAATCGAGTATGAATGCAAAATACTCATAAAAATTCTATATTTTTACTTGATTCTACTTGCATATATGTGTGTGTTAATTTGTGTAACAATTATGATGTATTGATGTATATGACTTTTTTATTGTGTTTTATTATAATTGTTTTTGTATTATTAAATTTATTGTGTTAGTTAATAAGTTCATGTTACTTAATTGAATTGTTAAAATGATCTAAAAATTAATAATTAAAAAAAATGTGTTCACCCGACTTTTTACTTGATTGCTTTGAACGAAATTCGGGTAAAAATAATACACTTAATAATATAGAGTCGGGCAAAAAAAATTAATTCTACAAAATATCAAGTAAAAAGATGAAATTTCATAAAATGTACTAGAGGGCCTCCATGCCCTAACTTCCTAAATAATGGGAAGAAAAAAGTTGGTGTGTGAGTGTTGATTTTGAACATTAGTTCAATGAAACTAGCCAGTTGCATTGGAATAAAACTTAATCATCTAAT